CCCTGAGTCTCACTCTGACCCAGAGACACGGTCTCCCTGAGTCTCACTCTGACCCAGAGACACGGTCTAACTGAGTCTCACTCTGACCCATAGAGACGGTCCTCCCTGAGTCTCACTTTGACCCAGAGACACGGCCTCCCTGAGTCTCACTCTGAGCCAGAGACACGGCCTCCCTGAGTATCACTCTGACCCAGAGACACGGTCTCCCTGAGTCTCACTCTGACCCAGAGACACGGCCTCCCTGAGTCTCACTCTGACCCAGAGACACGGCCTCCCTGAGTATCACTCTGACCGAGAGACACGGTCTCCCTGAGTCTCACTTTGACCCAGAGACACGGTCTCCCTGAGTCTCACTCTGAGCCAGAGACACGGCCTCCCTGAGTATCACTCTGACCCAGAGACACGGTCTCCCTGAGTCTCACTCTGACTTAGAGACACGGTCTCCCTGAGTCTCACTCTGAGCCAGAGACACGGTCTCCCTGAGTCTCACTCTGACCCAGAGACACAGTCTCCCTGAGTCTCACTCTGACCCAGAGACACGGTCTCCCTGAGTCTCAATCTGAGCCAGAGACACGGTCTCCCTGAGTCTCAATCTGACCCAGAGACACGGTCTCCCTGAGTTTCACTCTGACCTAGAGACACGGTCTCCCTGAGTCTCAATCTGAGCCAGAGGCACGGTCTCCCTGAGTCTTAATCTGAGCCAGAGGCACGGTCTCCCTGAGTCTCAATCTGAGCCAGAGGCACGGTCTCCCTGAGTCTCACTCTGAGCCAGAGACACGGTCTCCCTGAGTCTCACTCTGACCCAGAGACACGGTCTCCCTGAGTCTCACTCTGACCCAGAGACACGGTCTCCCTGAGTCTCACTCTGACCCAGAGACACGGTCTCCCTGAGTCTCACTCTGAGCCAGAGACACCGTTTCCCTGAGTCTCACTCTGACCCAGGGACATGGTCTCCCTGAATCTCACTCTGACCCAGAGACACGGTCTCCCTGAGTCTCAATCTGACCCAGAGACACGGTTTCCCTGAGTCTCACTGTGACCCAGGGACACGGTCTCCGTGAGTCTCACTCTGAGCCAGAGACACGGTCTCCCTGAGTCTCACTCTGACCCAGCGACACGGTCTCCCTGAGTCTCAATCTGACCCAGAGGCACGGTCTCCCTGAGTCTCAATCTGAGCCAGAGGCACGGTCTCCCTGAGTCTCACTCTGAGCCAGAGACACGGTCTCCCTGAGTCTCACTCTGACCCAGAGACACGGTCTCCCTGAGTCTCACTCTGACCCAGAGACACGGTCTCCCTGAGTCTCACTCTGACCCAGAGACACGGTCTCCCTGAGTCTCACTCTGAGCCAGAGACACCGTTTCCCTGAGTCTCACTCTGACCCAGGGACATGGTCTCCCTGAATCTCACTCTGACCCAGAGACACGGTCTCCCTGAGTCTCACTCTGAGCCAGAGACACGGTCTCCCTGAGTCTCACTCTGACCCAGAGACACGGTCTCCCGGAGTCTCACTCTGAGCCAGAGACACGGTCTCCCTGAGTCTCACTGTGACCCAGAGACACGGCCTCCCTGAGTCTCACTCTGACCCAGAGACACGGTCTCCCTGAGTCTCACTCTGAACCAGAGACACGGTCTCCCTGAGTCTCACTCTGACCCAGAGACACGGTCTCCCTGAGTCTCACTCTGACCCAGAGACACGGTCTAACTAAGTCTCACTCTGACCCATAGAGACGGTCTCCCTGAGTCTCACTTTGACCCAGAGACACGGCCTCCCTGAGTCTCACTCTGAGCCAGAGACACGGCCTCCCTGAGTATCACTCTGACCCAGAGACACGGTCTCCCTGAGTTTCACTCTGACCTAGAGACATGGTCTCCCTGAGTCTCAATCTGAGCCAGAGGCACGGTCTCCCTGAGTCTTAATCTGAGCCAGAGGCACGGTCTCCCTGAGTCTCAATCTGAGCCAGAGGCACGGTCTCCCTGAGTCTCACTCTGAGCCAGAGACACGGTCTCCCTGAGTCTCAATCTGACCCAGAGACACGGTCTCCCTGAGTCTCACTCTGACCCAGAGACACGGTCTCCCTGAGTCTCACTCTGACCCAGAGACACGGTCTCCCTGAGTCTCACTCTGAGCCAGAGACACCGTTTCCCTGAGTCTCACTCTGACCCAGGGACATGGTCTCCCTGAATCTCACTCTGACCCAGAGACACGGTCTCCCTGAGTCTCAATCTGACCCAGAGACAACGGTTTCCCTGAGTCTCACTGTGACCCAGGGACACGGTCTCCTTGAGTCTCACTCTGAGCCAGAGACACGGTCTCCCTGAGTCTCACTCTGACCCAGCGACACGGTCTCCCTGAGTCTCAATCTGACCCAGAGGCACGGTCTCCCTGAGTCTCAATCTGAGCCAGAGGCACGGTCTCCCTGAGTCTCACTCTGAGCCAGAGACACGGTCTCCCTGAGTCTCACTCTGACCCAGAGACACGGTCTCCCTGAGTCTCACTCTGACCCAGAGACACGGTCTCCCTGAGTCTCACTCTGACCCAGAGACACGGTCTCCCTGAGTCTCACTCTGAGCCAGAGACACCGTTTCCCTGAGTCTCACTCTGACCCAGGGACATGGTCTCCCTGAATCCCACTCTGACCCAGAGACACGGTCTCCCTGAGTCTCACTCTGACCCAGAGACACGGTCTCCCTGAGTCTCACTCTGACCCAGAGACACGGTCTAACTGAGTCTCACTCTGACCCATAGAGACGGTCTCCCTGAGTCTCACTCTGAAGCCAGAGACACGGTCTCCCTGAGTCTCACTCTGACCCAGAGACACGGTCTCCCGGAGTCTCACTCTGAGCCAGAGACACGGTCTCCCTGAGTCTCACTGTGACCCAGAGACACGGCCTCCCTGAGTCTCACTCTGACCCAGAGACACGGTCTCCCTGAGTCTCACTCTGAACCAGAGACACGGTCTCCCTGAGTCTCACTCTGACCCAGAGACACGGTCTCCCTGAGTCTCACTCTGACCCAGAGACACGGTCTAACTAAGTCTCACTCTGACCCATAGAGACGGTCTCCCTGAGTCTCACTTTGACCCAGAGACACGGCCTCCCTGAGTCTCACTCTGAGCCAGAGACACGGCCTCCCTGAGTATCACTCTGACCCAGAGACACGGTCTCCCTGAGTCTCACTCTGACCCAGAGACACGGCCTCCCTGAGTCTCACTCTGACCCAGAGACACGGCCTCCCTGAGTATCACTCTGACCGAGAGACACGGTCTCCCTGAGTCTCACTCTGACCCAGAGACACGGTCTCCCTGAGTCTCACTCTGAGCCAGAGACACGGCCTCCCTGAGTATCACTCTGACCCAGAGACACGGTCTCCCTGAGTCTCACTCTGACGTAGAGACACGGTCTCCCTGAGTCTCACTCTGAGCCAGAGACACGGTCTCCCTGAGTCTCACTCTGACCCAGAGACACGGTCTCCCTGAGTCTCACTCTGACCCAGAGACACGGTCTCCCTGAGTCTCAATCTGAGCCAGAGACACGGTCTCCCTGAGTCTCAATCTGACCCAGAGACACGGTCTCCCTGAGTTTCACTCTGACCTAGAGACACGGTCTCCCTGAGTCTCAATCTGAGCCAGAGGCACGGTCTCCCTGAGTCTTAATCTGAGCCAGAGGCACGGTCTCCCTGAGTCTCAATCTGAGCCAGAGGCACGGTCTCCCTGAGTCTCACTCTGAGCCAGAGACACGGTCTCCCTGAGTCTCACTCTGACCCAGAGACACGGTCTCCCTGAGTCTCACTCTGACCCAGAGACACGGTCTCCCTGAGTCTCACTCTGACCCAGAGACACGGTCTCCCTGAGTCTCACTCTGAGCCAGAGACACCGTTTCCCTGAGTCTCACTCTGACCCAGGGACATGGTCTCCCTGAATCTCACTCTGACCCAGAGACACGGTTTCCCTGAGTCTCACTGTGACCCAGGGACACGGTCTCCTTGAGTCTCACTCTGAGCCAGAGACACGGTCTCCCTGAGTCTCACTCTGACCCAGCGACACGGTCTCCCTGAGTCTCAATCTGACCCAGAGACACGGTCTCCCTGAGTCACACTCTGACCCAGAGACACGGTCTCCCTGAGTCTCACTCTGACCCAGAGACACGGTCTCCCTGAGTCTCACTCTGAGCCAGAGACACGGTCTCCCTGAGTCTCACTCTGAGCCAGAGACACGGTCTCCCTGAGTCTCACTTTGACCCAGAGACACGGTCTCCCTGAGTCTCACTCTGACCCAGAGATACGGTTTCCCTGAGTCTCACTCTGAGCCAGAGACACGGTCTCCCTGAGTCTCACTCTGAGCCAGAGACACGGTCTCCCTGAGTCTCACTTTGACCCAGAGACACGGTCTCCCTGAGTCTCACTCTGAGCCAGAGACACGGTCTCCCTGAGTCTCACTTTGACCCAGAGACACGGTCTCCCTGAGTCTCACTCTGAGTCTCACTCTGACCCTGAGTCTCACTCTGAGTCTCACTCTGAGTCTCACTCTGACCCTGAGTCTCACTCTGAGTCTCACTCTGAGTCTCACTGAGTCTCACTGAGTCTCACTCTGAGTCTCACTCTGAGTCTCACTCTGAGTCTCACTCTGACCCTGAGTCTCACTCTGAGTCTCACTCTGAGTCTCACTCTGAGTCTCACTCTGACTCTGAGTCTCACTCTGACCCTGAGTCTCACTCTGAGTCTCACTCTGAGTCTCACTCTGAGTCTCACCCTGACTCTGAGTCTGAGCCAGGAGCACGCTGTGTATATCCCCACAAGTTCAACTTCTGTTGCACCACTGTAAGTAGCCGGCGGCATTCATCGGCGCGGGGGAAGAACAAAAACGAGAAACGCTCAAATCACTCCGACAGAAATGAGACCTCCATGCAGGTGATGATTTCGCCGTCGATTCAATGTAATTGGCCGTGACCGTGAGAGTCACCGCCCCCTCTCTTACCCCCCCCCCCCCCCACTCCACCCCAGACATCATCACCCCCAACGGCCTCAACCTCAAGCGGTTCTCGGCCATGCACGAATTCCAGAATCTGCACGCACAGAGCAAGGCTCGCATCAACGAGTTCATCCGCGGGCACTTCTACGGGTGAGCCTCACTCACCAAGCTGAGTCACTCACGTGCTGAGTCACTCGCCTGCTGAGTCACTCGCCTGCTCAGTCACTCGCCTGCTCAGTCACTCACCAGCTCAGTCACTCACGTGCTCAGTCACTCGCCTGCTCAGTCACTCGCCTGCTCAGTCACTCGCCTGCTCAGTCACTCGCCTGCTCAGTCACTCGCCTGCTCAGTCACTCACCAGCTGAGTCACTCACCTGTTGAGTCACTCACCTGCTGAGTCACTCACGTGCTGAGTCACTCGCCTGCTCAGTCACTCGCCTGCTGAGTCACTCACCTGCTGAGTCACTCTCCTGCTCAGTCACTCGCCTGCTCAGTCACTAACCTGCTCAGTCACTCGCCTGCTCAGTCACTCGCCTGCTCAGTCACTCACCTGCTCAGTCACTCACCAGCTGAGTCACTCACCTGCTCAGTCACTCGCCTGCTCAGTCACTCACCAGCTCAGTCACTCGCCTGCTCAGTCACTCACCAGCTCAGTCACTCGCCAGCTCAGTCACTCACCAGCTCAGTCACTCACCAGCTCAGTCACTCGCCAGCTCAGTCACTCACCAGCTCAGTCACTCACCAGCTGAGTCACTCACCTGCTCAGTCACTCGCCAGCTCAGTCACTCACCAGCTCAGTCACTCACCAGCTCAGTCACTCACCTGCTCAGTCACTCACCTGCTCAGTCACTCACCTGCTGAGTCACTCACCAGCTCAGTCACTCACCTGCTCAGTTACTCACCTGCTGAGTCACTCACCTGCTCAGTCACTCGCCTGCTCAGTCACTCACCTGCTGAGTCACTCACCTGCTCAGTCACTCGCCTGCTCAGTCACTCGCCTGCTCAGTCACTCACCTGCTGAGTCACTCACCTGCTGAGTCACTCACCTGCTGAGTCACTCGCCTGCCCAGTCACTCACCTGCTCAGTCACTCGCCTGCTCAGTCACTCGCCGGCTGAGTCACTCGCCTGCTCAGTCACTCACCTGCTGAGCCACTCACCTGCTCAGTCACTCGCCTGCTGAGTCACTCGCCAGCTCAGTCACTCGCCAGCTCAGTCACTCACCTGCTGAGCCACTCACCAGCTCAGTCACTCACCTGCTGAGTCACTCGCCAGCTCAGTCACTCACCTGTTCAGTCACTCGCCTGCTGAGTCACTCACCTGCTGAGTCACTCGCCTGCTCAGTCACTCACCAGCTCAGTCATTCACCTGCTGAGTCACTCGCCTGCTCAGTCACTCACCTGCTCAGTCACTCGCCAGCTCAGTCACTCACCTGCTGAGTCACTCACCTGCTCAGTCACTCGCCAGCTCAGTCACTCACCTGCTGAGCCACTCACCAGCTCAGTCACTCACCTGCTGAGTCACTCGCCAGCTCAGTCACTCACCTGCTCAGTCACTCGCCTGCTGAGTCACTCACCTGCTCAGTCACTCGCCTGCTCAGTCACTCACCTGCTCAGTCACTCACCAGCTCAGTCATTCACCTGCTGAGTCACTCACCAGCTCAGTCACTCACCTGCTCAGTCACTCACCAGCTCAGTCATTCACCTGCTCAGTCACTCATCTGCTCAGTCACTCGCCTGCTCAGTCACTCACCTGCTGAGTCACTCGCCTGCTCAGTCACTCACCAGCTCAGTCACTCGCCTGCTCAGTCACTCGCCTGCTCAGTCACTCACCAGCTGAGTCACTCGCCAGCTCAGTCACTCACCTGCTCAGTCACTCACCAGCTCAGTCACTCGCCTGCTCAGTCACTCACCTGCTGAGTCACTCACCTGCTCAGTCACTCGCCTGCTCAGTCACTCGCCTGCTCAGTCACTCACCTGCTCAGTCACTCGCCTGCTCAGTCACTCACCTGCTCAGTCACTCGCCTGCTCAGTCACTCACCAGCTCAGTCACTCACCTGCTCAGTCACTCACCAGCTCAGTCACTTACCTGCTCAGTCACTCGCCTGCTCAGTCACTCACCTGCTCAGTCACTCGCCTGCTGATTCACTCACCAGCTCAGTCACTCGCCTGCTCAGTCACTCACCAGCTCAGTCACTTACCTGCTCAGTCACTCGCCTGCTCAGTCACTCACCTGCTCAGTCACTCGCCTGCTCAGTCACTCACCAGCTCAGTCATTCACCTGCTGAGTCACTCGCCTGCTCAGTCACTCACCTGCTCAGTCACTCACCTGCTCAGTCACTCGCCAGCTCAGTCACTCACCTGCTGAGTCACTCACCTGCTCAGTCACTCGCCAGCTCAGTCACTCACCTGCTGAGCCACTCACCAGCTCAGTCACTCACCTGCTGAGTCACTTGCCAGCTCAGTCACTCACCTGCTCAGTCACTCGCCTGCTGAGTCACTCACCTGCTCAGTCACTCGCCTGCTCAGTCACTCACCTGCTCAGTCACTCACCAGCTCAGTCATTCACCTGCTGAGTCACTCACCAGCTCAGTCACTCACCTGCTCAGTCACTCACCAGCTCAGTCATTCACCTGCTCAGTCACTCATCTGCTCAGTCACTCGCCTGCTCAGTCACTCACCTGCTGAGTCACTCGCCTGCTCAGTCACTCACCAGCTCAGTCACTCGCCTGCTCAGTCACTCGCCTGCTCAGTCACTCACCAGCTGAGTCACTCGCCAGCTCAGTCACTCACCTGCTCAGTCACTCACCAGCTCAGTCACTCGCCTGCTCAGTCACTCACCTGCTGAGTCACTCACCTGCTCAGTCACTCGCCTGCTCAGTCACTCGCCTGCTCAGTCACTCACCTGCTCAGTCACTCGCCTGCTCAGTCACTCACCTGCTCAGTCACTCGCCTGCTGAGTCACTCACCAGCTCAGTCACTCACCTGCTCAGTCACTCACCAGCTCAGTCACTTACCTGCTCAGTCACTCGCCTGCTCAGTCACTCACCTGCTCAGTCACTCGCCTGCTGAGTCACTCACCAGCTCAGTCACTCGCCTGCTCAGTCACTCACCAGCTCAGTCACTTACCTGCTCAGTCACTCGCCTGCTCAGTCACTCACCTGCTCAGTCACTCGCCTGCTCAGTCACTCACCAGCTCAGTCACTCGCCTGCTCAGTCACTCACCTGCTCAGTCACTTACCTGCTCAGTCACTCACCAGCTCAGTCACTCACCTGCTGAGTCACTCGCCTGCTGAGTCACTCACCTGCTGAGCCACTCACCTGCTCAGTCACTCACCTGCTGAGCCACTCACCTGCTCAGTCACTCACCAGCTCAGTCACTCACCTGCTGAGTCACTCACCTGCTGAGTCACTAACCTGCTCAGTCACTCACCAGCTCAGTCACTCACCTGCTCAGTCACTCACCTGCTGAGCCACTCACCTGCTCAGTCACTCACCTGCTCAGTCACTCACCTGCTGAGTCACTCACCTGCTGAGTCACTAACCTGCTGAGCCACTCACCTGCTCAGTCACTCACCTGCTGAGCCACTCACCTGCTCAGTCACTCACCAGCTCAGTCACTCACCTGCTGAGTCACTCACCTGCTCAGTCACTCACCTGCTGAGCCACTCACCTGCTCAGTCACTCGCCTGCTCAGTCACTCACCAGCTCAGTCACTCACCAGCTCAGTCACTCGCCTGCTCAGTCACTCACCTGCTGAGTCACTCGCCTGCTCAGTCACTCACCTGCTCAGTCACTCACGTGCTCAGTCACTCGCCTGCTCAGTCACTCACCAGCTCAGTCACTCACCTGCTGAGTCACTCACCTGCTGAGTCACTCACCTGCTCAGTCACTCACCTGCTCCGTCATTCGCCTGCTCAGTCACTCACCTGCTCAGTCACTCACCTGCTCAGTCACTCACCAGCTCAGTCACTCACCAGCTCAGTCACTCACCTGCTCAGTCACTCACCTGCTCAGTCACTCACCTGCTCAGTCACTCGCCTGCTCAGTCACTCGCCTGCTGAGTCACTCGCCTGCTCAGTCACTCACCTGCTTAGTCACTCACCTGCTCGCTCCCCTACCCCGACGGTGGTGTTGTAGCTGCGTGGTTGTAGTTGTGTGGTTATGATTGTGTAGCTGTGTGGTTATGAAGCTGTGTGGTTGTGTAGTGGTTGTGGTGGTGGTGTTGCTGTGTGGTTGTGTCGTGGTGCTGTGTGGTGGTGTTGTAGCTGTGTGGTTGTGGAGCTGTAGCTGTGTGGTGGTGTTGTAGCTGTGTGGTTGTGGTGCTGTAGCTGTGTGGTGGTGTTGTAGCTGTGTGGTTGTGGTGGTGTGTGGTTGTGTGGTTGTGGTAGTGTTGTAGCTGTGTGGTGGTGTGTGGTTATGTGGTTGTGTGGTTGTGGTGGTGCTGTAGCTGTGTGGTGGTGTTGTAGATGTGTGGTTGTGGTGGTGTGTGGTTGTGTGGTTGTGGTAGTGTTGTAGCTGTGTGGTGGTGTTGTAGCTGTGTGGTTGTGGTGGTGCTGTAGCTGTGTGGTGGTGTTGTAGCTGTGTGGTTGTGGTGGTGCTGTAGCTGTGTGGTGTTGTGTGGTGGTGCTGTAGCTTTGTGGTGTTGTGTGGTGGTGCTGTAGCTGTGTGGTGGTGCTGTGTGGTTGTGCTGTAGCTGTGTGGTGGTGTTGTAGTTGTGTGGTGGTGCTGTAGCTGTGTGGTGGTGCTGTAGCTGTGTGGTGCTGTGTGGTGGTGCTGTGTGGTGGTGCTGTAGCTGTGTGGTGGTGCTGTGTGGTGGTGGTGTTGTAGCTGTGTGGTGGTGCTGTAGCTGTGTGGTGGTGCTGTAGCTGTGTGGTGGTGCTGTGTGGTTGTGGTGGTGCTGTGTGGTGGTGCTGTAGCTGTGTGGTGGTGCTGTAGCTGTGTGGTGCTGTGTGTGGTGTTGTAGCTGTGTGGTGGTGTGTGGTTGTAGTGGTGCTGTAGCTGTGTGGTAGTGTTGTAGCTGTGTGGTGGTGCTGTAGCTGTGTGGTGGTGTGTGGTGGTGTTGTAGCTGTGTGGTTGTGTGGTTGTGGTGGTGCTGTAGCTGTGTGGTTGTGGTGTTGTGTGGTTGTGGCTGTGCAGACACATGGACTTTAATCTAGAGAAGACTCTGTACTTCTTCATCGCGGGTCGCTACGAATTCTCTAACAAGGGAGCCGACCTCTTCATCGAATCTCTCGCTCGGCTTAACTACCTCCTCAAGGTCACCACCACCACCAACACTACCAACACCACTACCTCCTCAAGGTCACCACTACCACCACCACTACCACCACCACCACCACTACCTCCTCAAGGTCACCGCCACCACCACTACCACCACCACTACCACCACTTCCACCACCACTACCACCACCACTACCACCACTACCACCACCACTACCTCCTCAAGGTCACCACCACCACCCCCACTACCACCACCACTACCTCCTCAAGGTCACCACCACCACTACCACCACCACTACCTCCTCAAGGTCACCACTACCACCACCACTACCACCACCACTACCTCCTCAAGGTCACCACTACCACCACCACTACCACCACCACTACCACCACCACTACCTCCTCAAGGTCACCACTACCACCACCACTACCACTACCACCACCACTACCACCACCACTACCTCCTCAAGGTCACCACCACCACTCCCACCACCACTACCTCCTCAAGGTCACCACCACCACCCCCACTACCACCACCACTACCTCCTCAAGGTCACCACCACCACTACCACCACCACTACCACCACCACTACCTCCTCAAGGTCACCACTACCACCACCACTACCACCACCACTACCTCCTCAAGGTCACCACCACCACCACTACTACCACCACCACTACCTCCTCAAGGTCACCACTACCACCACCACTACCACCACCACTACCACCTCAAGGTCACCACCACCACCACTACCACTACCTCCTCAGGGTCACCACCACCACCACCACCCCCACTACCACCACCACTACCTCCTCAAGGTCACCACCACTACCACCACCACTACCTCCTCAAGGTCACCACCACCACCACTACCACTACTACCACCACCACTACTACCACCACCACTACTACTACCACTACTACCACCACTACCACCACCACTACCACCACCACTACCACCACCACTACCACTACCACCACCACTACCACCACCACTACAACTACTCCTACTACCACTACTACCACCACTACCACCACCTTGCTCGGGATACACTGTTAGGACTGAAAATCCTACATCACCACAAATCACGGCCTTCAATATTGAAATCACAAAGCTAATCCATCGAGCTGAAACAGAACGCTGCCACGAGTTTGTTGAATCTTTTGACCGTCGCCCAAAACTCAGAAAAAACTCTGGAAGACCACCGAAGCCTTGGACGGACACTCCAAACCACCACCCAAATTTCGCGAATCACTTTCAACAACAAATCCATAAATCGAAATTTAAATCCATCATAAACAACAACAATAATAACTTTCGATTTAAAGCTTTCGTGACTGCAATGATTCATCTTCTTTGGTTCTTTCGGTAAAGTCACGTAGAATGAGAATAAAATAATAAATTGATAAAATAAAATAACACAATGATATTCTCACGACGTTTCAGCCATAACACAAGCGGCCTTCATCAGGTGAAGGGGACGAGACTGTCTGGTAGGACAGCGCTGGAGTGAAAGAGCCACGTTCAGATCACGGCCTTTTAAGCCTCAACTTTAGTTGAGGCTTAAAAGGTCGAAACGTCGTGAGAATATCATTGTGTTATTTTATTTTATCAATTTATTATTTTATTCTCATTCTACGTGACTTTACCGAAAGAACCAAAGAAGAACAATAATAACATCGCCAACAACTTCAACAAACTCTTCTCATCGGTCTCCCCACACTCTTCCAATATATCCACCCGTCAAAAAAAAATCCGTCAAATCAAGGAACCTACCAATAAAACAACGCCCGCCCCCTCCCCCAATTTCGCCTTGAAGGAGGTGAAACTAGCCGTCAAAAAAGCCAGAAATGATTCCGCAGTTGGCCCCGATGGCATAGCGATGCCCCACCTCGAACACCTCGCCTCCACCGCTAGCGCCTCACCCCCAGTGCAACCTCATTCCGGCCATCTGGAAATCATCGGCAATCAATCCCACTTCCAAAAACCCCGGCAGAGACCTGAATCAAGCACCGCCCTGCAGGCCGATGCCCATCAATCAAGATTCCCGAGGCCTTTGGTCCTTCCAGTCATCACCACCAACTTACCTCCATCGACTCGCCAACACTGCTTTCGCCCGGCACACCCATCAACAACAACAGCTCTTGTCAACCTAACCACCCGAAAAAGCCCTCATCCCACACTATTGTCACTGCCCTTCACCTTACAAAAGGCTTTCTACACCCGGGGAGCGGAGCCAGGATTTCAGGCCCGGGGTGACGTTCGACAAATGTTAACTTCAGGAATGATTTAGAGAGAGTCAGGCTGTTGAACTGGACGCCATCGGTTGGCGGACACGCGCTCTGACAATATAGTAGTGTGTAGTAGTGTAGTGAATAGTGTAGTGTATAGTGTAGTGTATAGTAGTGTATAGTGTAGTGTATAGTGTAGTGTATAGTGTAGTGTATAGTAGTGTAGTGAATAGTGTAGTGTATAGTGTATTGTTTAGTGTAGTGTATAGTGTAGTGTATAGTAGTGAATAGTGTAGTGTATAGTGTAGTGTATAGTGTAGCGTAGTGAATAGTGTAGTGTATAGTAGTGTAGTGTAGTGAATAGTGTAGTGTATAGTGTAGTGTATAGTGTAGTGTATAGTAGTGTATAGTGTAGTGTATAGTGTAGTGTATAGTGTAGTGTGTAGTGTATAGTGTAGTGTATAGTGTAGTGTATAGTGTAGTGTATAGTAGTGTAGTGTATAGTAGTGTAGTGTAGTGTATAGTGTAGTGAATAGTGGTGTAGTGTATAGTAGTGTATAGTAGTGTAGTGTATAGTGTAGTGAATAGTGTAGTGTATAGTGTAATGTATAGTGGTATAGTGTATAGTAGTGTATAGTAGTGTAGTGTATAGTGTAGTGAATAGTGGTGTAGTGTATAGTTTCGATTTAAAGCTTTCGTGACTGCAAGGATTCATCTTCTTTGGTTCTTTTGGTAAAGTCACCACCACGTGGAATGAGAATAAAATAATAAATTGATAAAATAAAATAACACAATAAAATTCTCACGACGTTTCGGCCACAACACAAGCGGAAATAATCCGTTCCAGAGTATGAGAAATGATATTTTCAGATGGCACGTTGTACGTTAATGTGGCCGTATGAAATAATGTAGACACTACCTATTACTGAAAATGCGTACGTGCATTAAAATAAATGCACGAATACATTTTAGTAAATTGAAATAAAAATGCAATGTAGCTTGCTGAGAGGAGTTGATAGCCTACGGGGATGGTGGTGAGGAAGGGGAGGAGGAGCCGGAGGAGGGGGAAATGATATTTTTTGCAAGGAGAGTCCCCTTCCATTAAAACTTCAGGAAGCTGAAATTCTGGGGGGGGGGGGGGGGGAGGGGGGGTTTTCTAATTTCTTTCTGTCTTTTTTTCTTGACTTGGACTTGGTTGAGGCTCACCAGGTTTGAGTTTGACTAAAAACCTGCCCATTGGAAGTTTGTTTTTGCCTTCTGCTAAGAATGTTCCTGAAGTGTGACACTGTCTGGTCATTCCACGCAACACTCTTACGGCTTGTTAGAGCCGTAACCGTGTTGTTGTGTGCGCGGGTACCGTGGACGGTGACTCATCCCGACCCATACAAGTTCTAGCAAACACCTCGTACCCCAAGCAAGACGTCGTACCCCAAGCAAGAAGACGTACGCCAGCAAGACGTCGTACCCCAAGACGTCGTACCCAAGGCGTCGTACCCCAAGCAAGACGTCGTACCTAAGACGTCGTACCCCAAGACGTCGTACCCAAGGCGTCGTACCCCAAGCAAGACGTCGTACCTAAGACGTCGTACCCCAAGGCGTCGTACCCCAAGCAAGACGTCGTACCCCAAGCAAGGCGTCGTACCCAAGACGTCGTACCCCAAGCAAGAAGACGTACCCCAAGACGTCATACCCCAAGCAAGGCGTATCACAAGACGTCGTACCCCAAGACGTCATACCCCAAGCAAGACGTATCACAAGACGTCGTACCCCAAGACGTCGTACCCCAAGGCGTCGTACCCCAAGCAAGACGTCGTACCCCAAGGCGTCGTACCCCAAGGCGTCGTACCCCAAGGCGTCGTACCCCAAGACGTCGTACCCCAAGGCGTCATACCCAAGACGTCGTACCCCAAGGCGTCGTACCCCAAGACGTCGTACCCCAGCAAGACGTCGTACCCCAAGACGTCGTACCCCAAGACGTCGTACCCCAAGACGTCGTACCCCAAGACGTCGTACCCCAAGGCGTCGTACCCCAAGACGTCGTACCCCAAGACGTCGTAGCCCAGCAAGACGTCGTACCCCAAGACGTCGTACCCCAGCAAGATGTCGTACCCCAAGGCGTCGTACCCCAAGACGTCGTACCCCAAGGCGTCGTACCCCAAGACGTCATACCCCAAGACGTCGTACCCCAAGCAAGACGTACCCCAAGACGTCGTACCCCAAGACGTCGTACCCCAAGACGTCGTACCCCAAGGCGTCGTACCCCAAGGCGTCGTACCCCAAGACGTCGTACCCCAAGCAAGGCGTCGTACCCCAAGGCGTCGTACCCCAAGACGTCGCATCCCAAGACGTCGCATCCCAAGCAAGACGTCGTACCCCAGCAAGACGTCGTACCCCAAGGCGTCGTACCCCAAGGCGTCATACCCCAAGACGTCGCATCCCAAGCAAGACGTCGTACCCCAGCAAGACGTCGTACCCCAAGACGTCGTACCCCAAGACGTTGTACCCCAAGACGTCGTACCCCAAGACGTCGTACCCCAAGGCGTCGTACCCCAAGCAAGACGTCGTACCCCAAGGCGTCGTATCCCAAGGCGTCGTACCCCAAGACGTCGTACCCCAGCAAGACGTCGTACCCCAAGACGTCGTACCCCAAGACGTCGTACCCCAAGACGTCGTACCCCAAGGCGTCGTACCCCAAGACGTCGTACCCCAAGACTGTGGTGTGTGGCTGTGTACCGTGGTGTGTGACTGTGTACCTGTGACTGTGTACCTGTGACTGTGTACTGTGGTGTGTGACTGTGTACCTG